TTTGTAACCCCATGGACTGTAGCCCACCAAGCCCCTCTGTCCATGGGGTTCTCTAGGCAAGAATACTAGAGTGGGTTGCCATGCCTTCCTCCAGAAGATCTTTCTGACCCAGGGATCGAACTTAGGTCTCCCCCGCATTGCAGCTGCCAGAGAAGCCCTGTTCAAGCTGTATAATCTTAAACAACAGTCTAAATCAATTCAAAAGCACATTCCCACTAACCTATTTCATTAGGGTAATGGGAAGGATTATGGGATAATAATATATATAAAACAGCCTAATATCTGACACATACTAACCACTCAATAAACAGTACCTATAAATCATTTAAAAGGCATGGTTATAGTAAGTATTTTCCAGACTCATGAGGTTTTTTTGGCCCCAGAGTATTTAGGATTCCATAGAAATCGAAAATGTTCTAAAGCAGGGGTCCCCAATCTCCAGGATCTAATGTCTGAAGATCTGAAGTGGAGCTGATGAAACAATAATTGAAATAAAGTGCACAATAAGTGTAACATGCTTGAATCATCTTGAAACCATCCTCACCCCACCTCAGCACCATCTGTAAGAAAATTGTCTTCCATGAAAGTGGTCCCTGGTGTCAAAAAAGGTTGGGGACCAAGTCAAACTTTGCCAAAATCACTGTTTGGGACCTGTTATTTAAAATGTTATCACTATATTTAATCAATGTTTAAGAGACATTTGGGAGTATTTTGGTAGATAAAAGGAAAGAACTTTTGTTTTTTCTGTTTGTTTTTAGTAGACTAACAGGAGTACAATACCCAACAACATATATTAGAACAAAATCTCTATCATTTTCTTATTTATGCACCAAGAATGCCATCTAGCTCCACTGAAGCCCAATTAATATGGTGCCATATCTGCTCTAATACAAACATCAAACATGGGTCCATTTCCTTGGTCATCTAAAACCCTGCATGAGACAATCTATAAGGCTCATATAAAGTTTTTATCTTCCCTATTATTTACCTCTTTCAGTTAAGTATTTTGTACTTAACATTTACTTTATGACTAATGTTGAGTATATCAGAGTGTATTACAATTAAGGGTTCTCAGTGGTGTTTTAAAAAATTTTTCTAGTAAACATGCAAAAACAAAGAGTCTTTTCATAGAATATGCTATTGATAGTTAACAAGGAGTTGAGTCATAGAAGGAAGACAAGACTAATATGATTAGAGCACACTAGGTTATAGCTGGATATTGGTTTGTTTGTTTTTTTTAAAAAAAGCTATTGCAACTAAAGGATGATGTGTTTTTTCCATACTTACAAACATCCTAGTGGTGGTGTTATACTCAATAGCAAAACCTTAGTGGCATCCATTTCCATTTCAGCCAGACTAACGCATTTCATTACAGATCTTCGCTGTGGCATTAAGAGGTCATTTGCTGGATTCTTTGGGCAGCTTAAGAGCTTAAAGCAGGAAAAAACAACCAATGGCTGAATTGCTAATACTTTTCCATAAGGGCCCTTTTTACTTCCTCTTCCCCCATTCATTCTCCACTTCTCTATTCATACTCCATTTCTACCTCAATTTCTTTTCCACTCTCTTTTTTTTCTATTGTGCCTACACCATGAGTCCACCAGGACAGCACATGAAACTTGAAGGACTGTCCTACCATACTGTGTACCTAGAGAAGCACATGGAATTTGGAGGGATTTCATTTCACAATGGTCTTTACTTTTTTGTTTTATTATGATCATATTGTATAGCCATAAAAAAAGGGAAAATCTGAGCAACTTGCCTTTTGCCTCTAGACATGATCAAGTGTCCTCTTGCGGATAAACTCCTCAGCTGAGAACTACGGTTAACCCATCAAATGTTCCCAGTCCATTTCTTCTTATTCCTCATTCCTTTGACCTAAGACCATTCACCCTATCTTCTAGTTAATATACCTTCTACTCCTTTAAACTTCCATGCAGGATCCTTATTTCGTATTTTTTTGGTGCTAATTTAAATGACTCCAGTATGATTGGACTGTGTCAAACAGCACTGCTTAGAGTGGGATACAGACTTCTGATGCCTAAACTGGGTGACAACAGTGCTTTCCAACAGAAACAGAGCATGAACTACTTCATGTAACTGCAAATTTTCATAGTCATCAAAAGGAACAGGTAAAATTCACATTTTTCCTGTCTTCAAAACCCAGTGTGTCTTTATACTTAACAGCACATCTCAATTTGTATTAGCTGCAATGAGAGTGCTCAATAGCTACATATGGCTAGCTCCCAGACAGGACAACGCAGCTCTATGATATATCTCAATGACTATGGGAAGGAAGCAGGAACCGATCAAATACTATAACCTAACATATAACAAAATAGATTTCTAGTATATCAAGGACTGTTTTCCACAGCGTTGGCTACACTAACTTGTCGTACTATATGCCTCCTTGGAAACTTATCAAATGTATAAAGCCAATCACTATACCCCCAAGAGCCTGTAACAGACACGTTAGTCTTACTGGCCCATCTGATCACAACAAGGCTGAGATTCACACCATAAGCACCACTCTTCATGGAGCAACCCTTTCAAAATAAAGTCCAAACTGCTTAATGCACAATAAAATATAGTTCATCTATATATCTAGAAAGATTTATACCAACATGCTAAAAGCAGTTACATGTCAGTGCAGGGAATTACAGGCAGCCTTTATTTTCTTTTTCTCTTGATTATCTCTTTCGTGGACTCTGCATGGGCAGCTTTTTACAAATGGGGAGAAGAGAAGATAGAACGAGTAAAGCCCACAGATGCCAAAGCATTTTGCCGGTGTGATCTCACACAACTAAGTTACCTGTGCCCCTTTAGGTTGTCACTGTTCCAATAAGCATCATTCACATGAAAACTCTTTGTATAATTAATTGAACTTAATACCTAACAGTTTTATACATAAAAATAGAAAGTATGTCTTACACTGTCTTAAGGTATATGAAATTTACTCAAAATATAGTCACTGTGTCAATCAAGGGACAAATAGTCCCTGTTTTGATTCTACCAAAATTTGTTCACCAATTCAGAAAATTCAATCACTGCAGGCAAGATCACTTGTGCTAATTAAATCACCAATATAATAAATACACTAGTACCAATAAGAATATTTATAAACATTTATATACACACACATATATATTAATCTTTGATGTCTTAGAAAACAGAAAACATACCAATACATACCAATACATTTTTTGTTTTCTAAGACATCAAAGATTAATATATATGTCTGTATATAAATGTTTGTATTCTTATACAAACATTTGTTACTTCATTACATCTTATAGTGTACTCATGCCCAACTACACTATATTACATTTGTCTATAAATACCATTTAAATTATATGACATAGTTAATTACATATTAAGAGAATTTTCTATTTCAGATAAGGAATTATACTGAATTTTTAAAACTTACATTTATAAGAAAGGTATGGCGTGTATAAGAATTACATTTTAAGAAAATCAAGGGGCATTATCAAATACATATTATAAAAAGGGGGTGTTCACATGCCCAAAAAAATCTAGACACAGAATTTATACCCCCTCATAAAAATTATCCAATTAATATTAATAGATCACAGACCTAACTGTAACATACAAACACTATAAACTCCTATTAATAATGCAGAAAATCTAGATGACCTCATTGAGTAAAGCAGTAACTTTTTAGAAGTATGATCCATGAAAGAAACAATTAATAAGCTGGACTCCATTAAAATTAAAAACTTCTGCCCTGTGAAAGATAATGTCAAAAGAATGACAAGACAAACCACAGACTGGGAGAAAACATATACCAAAGACATACTTGATAAAGGACTGTTATCCAAAACATACAAAGAACTCTAAAAATTAAACAATAGAAAACAAACAACCCAATTGGAAAATGGGCCAAAGACCTTAAAGACACTTAAATAGAGATATACAGATGGCAAGTAAACACATGAAAAGATGTGCTTTTTTGCATACTTCATACATCATCAGGGAAACGCAAATTAAAAGAATGTGACACTACCACATACCTATAAGAATGGCCAAAATCCAGAACACTGTCAGTACCACAGGCTGGTAAGAATGTGGAGCAGTAGGAAGTCTCATACATTGCTAGTGGGAATGCAAAGTGGAACAGCCACTTTGGAAGACAGCTGAGCAGTTTCAACTAGACATATTCTAACATACAATCCAGCAATCACAATCCTTGTTGCTTGAGGAGTTGAAAACTTATACCCACACAAAATCTAGTACAGAGATGTTTATAGCAGCTTTATTCATAGCTGCCAAAACTTGGAAGCAATCAAGATGACCTTCAGTAGTTGAAGGGATAAATAAACTATGGTACATTCAGACAATGAAACATTACTCAGTGCTAAAAAGAAATGACCTATTAAGCCATGAATAGATATGGAGGAAACATAAAAGCGTAATAGTAGGTGAAAGAAGCCAATATGAAAAGGCTATACAGTGTATGAATCCAGTTACATGCCACTCTAGAAATGACAAAACTATGGAGGCAATAAAAGCATCAGCTGTGGGCAGATGTTGTAGAGGTGGAGAGGGACGAATAGGTGGAGCTCAGAGGATTTTTAGGGCAGTGAAATACTCTGATACTGTAATAATGGATGTAAGTCATTTCACATTTGTCCAAACCCATAAAATGTATACCACCCAAGAGTGAACCCTAATGTAAACTATAAACTGGGATGATTATAATGTGTCAAGGTAGGTTCATCAATTATAACAAATGGATCACTGTGGCTGGGGGGAATGTTAATAATGGGGAAGGCCATATATGTGTCAGGGGAGGAAGTAAATGACAAATCTTTTTACCTTCCTTTCAACAGCTCTAAAAAGATAGTCCTTTTTTTTTTTTTAAAGATAGTCTTAAAAATAGGGGAAGAGGAGGATTAAGTCTGACAGGATTAAGAACAAGCTAGCTGACAGTAAACCGAACATTACACAGTATACTTATACTACCCAACTGAGCTACTTACCTTCCATACTAGGGGAAGGGAACGCAATCATCACGAGCACAGGAAGAATCATCACTCCATCCACCATTGTACAACTGTGGAGGGAAAAAACAAGAGAGTCCAGTAAACCAAAATAAAATGTAACTGCAGGGAGACAAATGAAGCACACCATCTTTAAACTTGTCATTCAAGGCCTTCCTTACAAATCCCTCTTACATATGTTGCCTTACTTCTTAGTAATTTAAACATGTACCCTTTACATGGATCTAAATAAATCATCTTAAAGTGTTAATCAGATTTATCTCCTACTGGTGGTCAATCCGAGACAACATTCTCTGAGTCTACCCTCTTATAAAGAGCTCAAAAAGGGACATGAAAAATTCTCAGTTATAAGGCTGGGTATTCCTAAAGGACTTATAAGGATGGGTATTCATAAAGGACTTAAGTTTGAATTTTATCTTATCCCACTGAACTCAGAATTGGCAACAAGAATTCTGAGAAGCATGAATAGACTGTTCTAACATGATGCTAAAGATTAAGTGACTGAATAATCCAAGCCAAACTACTATGTTTCAGCTTTACTTTTCCTACAAAAGGATTAGAGGGGAAGCAATTTACAATCATCATAGAGCCCTAAAAAAGAAAAAAAAAAAGTAAAACACAAAACTATAGCTTACACTTCATCTATGACAAAGCAATGTATTCTTATATTAACTTCAAATTTAACAAAGCATAGACACAATCAACACAGGAAGAAATCAAATAAAACTTTAACATATGAAACTATATTGGAGAGAAAATAAGATACATAAACTTTAAGTTGATACTGCCCTAAAACTACATGGGCAGAAGCTCAATGTTCTGAGTCAAAGGACAACAGAAAACTTTTCCATCTGAGTAATTCCTGCAAAATTTTGGCAATTATGATGAGAGTTTGCTTATACTAATTCTTTATTGCAAAGAATAATTTTAAAAAATTAAACCTTGAACTAGGTACAATCTTCTGGATGGCAAAAATAAAGAGAAAATGGGTAAAGTTCTTGAATGAAATGGTTCATGCGCTGTGTTACTCTTATAGCTTTAAAGCAAAGAACAAGAACCCATTGCTATCTAAGCTGTTTGGAATGGACACCTTCTGATTCATCATCTTAAAATCAAATTTTTTTGTTAGTAGTTTGATTGTTCATACCCCACACCTCTGTTCTATCTTACCACCCCTCATTCCAATTTGTCTACAATTGCATTTCAGACTGTCTCTTCTCTAATAGCAAGGTGAGGGACGGGGATAAAGGGAGTTTAATGGACTTCCTTTTTGTATTTTTAAAAGCACATGAAATACGAGTGACCCTTTTTTTCTCTTTCCGTTGTTATTATTTCCATAGATCTTTTCTACAGCATGCCCTTATTTAATATACAAATGCCCCACCTCACCCTGGGATCCTCACAACATCTCTGTACCTTTGAACAGAAGCACTCTGCTGGTTCCCTCCACTCCAGGTGACCTGAGCCTCCCTCTACCTCTCTCCCAGCCAACTCCCTCCTCCTGCCATTCATGATCCAGTGCAAAAAGCAAACGCCTGGTGCAATAGCTCTCCATCAGCAGTGATTTCACCCCTCTCAGCACTGGTCTAACACCACTCAGAATCAATCATTTGTCTTCGTCAATCTCCAGCACTGGCCTACTTGCCCTCAAAGGGGTACATACTTCCACAGGCCATACAAAATAATGCATTAAATTATGGAATAAATATACTAAAACTTGTATCCTATTTAAAAAATTATTTAATCTAATACAGTGATAACTTCATCTTTTATGACAGTCCACTACAAGAGGTATCTTGAGGAAGTGAGAGTTACCTAATGTGAAAGAGTGGACATGGTTTGCTTCTAGAATAGTCAGGTTTGAAGGTTTATTTAAGTGGAATCACAGGTTGTAAAGAATCCACCTGCAATGAGGGAGACCTTGGTTTGATCCCTGGGTTGGGAAGATCCCCTGGAGAAGGGAAAAGCTACCCACTCCAGTAATCTGGCCTAAAGAATTCCATGGACTCTATAGTCCACGAGGTTGCAAATGAGCCCTCCCCAAATTGCAAGTGTTCTAAATCCATTAAGGAAACTACAGATTAAATATGTTATTAATGAGTACCAGAGAATAGTAAGAAAATGGTAGAGCTGATATCGCTATTCCTAGTGGTTAATCAGTTTACTAGAGAATAGCAATTAACATTCAGTTCATGTGACTGAAGCAGGCTCACCAAATTCAAAATTAAAAAATACATTAAAAACTGATTTGCATCCAGTATCACAAACAATAAACATTATCCTGAGTGACTTGAGACTTTCGTCAATAATACAATGTCATTACCATTAGCAATACCATAAATATTTCACCTTAAATCTTTTTAAAAATTCTACTTTATGTACATTTTATAATACATAGATTTATTTTATATAACAGTTATAAGCAACATACACATTGAGGGTATACACTGAAAAAGCTTTTTAACTGATGAGATATAATCATCAAAAGCCTTTGAAAACCACTGAACTATCACAGTCTTATCTTTGAATTTCCAGCCCATCCTTTCTCCTTCCTTCCACAACTACTGGAAGCCTGCTATGTATTAGAAATTAGAAACTTAAAATGATAAAGATAAACAAACATGGTCCTTACTATTATGGAGCTTACTCAGTCTATCTATGGTGGTACTCAAATAACCATACAGAAGACTGCACAGTTAAAAACTGAACTAACTGTTAGGAAGAAAGAGAGTTAAATAAGATTGCTAACAAAACAACTTGAGATTTTTCTGGAGGGTGGAGGAGCTTCCCTGGGGAGATTATATCTAAACAGGAACTAGAAAGACGAGTAGGAGGTACTACAAAAAGGGTAAGAGTATGTGAGTCCTCATTTGTGTGTGTGCATGCGCATGTGTTTATGTTGGAGTGGTGAACACTCTGGTGGAGACAGGAGGGCATTTAAGGGGAAAGGCGATCTCTCAGCTTCTACACAGACCCTGTGGCCAGGGGAAGCATGGTGCATCCTGAGGACTTAAGACATATTTCACATGAAAAAAAAAACCACACCAGGCTAGGATACAGAAAGCTTATAGAGAAGAGTGATAAGGAGAGAAAACCCAAGAAGGCCAGGGAGTTAGCCCCCAACCAGAACCTGGGTAAAACATGGTAAGCTCTAGTAAGTAAGCCCCCTACTCACCTCCCTACATTCAAAGCCCTTCTCCACTCCATTGTCCTTGGCACACCAACAGGCCAGCTTCCTCCTGTCTCTGGACCTCTCCATATATGCTGCTGCTGCTCCCAGTGATTGGGCCCATCTTTCAGGATCCAATCTGGCAAATTCCTACTCCTCTTTCAAGTCTCAAATGTCACTACCTTCTAGAAGCTTTCCTATACCTTCATATTCCCTCATTATACTCTCACATACCACTTTGTTGATTTCATTCATGGCATTTATCATAATTAACAATTATATATTCATACTCATGTGTGTGCTTTTGAACATCTGCCTCCCTCACTAGACTATAAACATTATAGTAAAATCTATAGTCTATTTTGTTCATCGCTACCAAAGCCAAGTAGGTGCACATTTAATACTTGCTGAATTTTCCCTGAACTAATCAGTCTGATTTAACTTTAAAGTCCAAAGAATTAGCAATGCCCCCTCCCCACTCCTAACACACAAGCACCTGCAAAGGAATAGTAAGATTAAGGCATTTATCAACTGTTAACTTTATGGTCTAGAATGTAGTGCAGGTAATAATAGTCAGCAGTTAACAAGTCCAAAGCTTTAAAATCAAGAATTCTTTCACAATTTAAAAAATAATTCTAAAGACAATCACCACTGGCAATTTTTCCTGTCACAAAACCAACAAAAGTTCCCGCCCCTCAACACCTTTTAACTGATTATTATTGTGCAAGGAAAATTGAAACAATAATTTAGGCTCCTAAATGGAAAACAGGGGAGGGGAAAAAAAGGAGTTATAAATTCAGGCTTCCAAACAAATCTGCTGTTTAGAGATAGATAGCTCAAAACCTGCCAAAAATCTTTGGGAAAAAATGTCAGCATCACTTATTGGTCACCACTTTGTTCAGTGTCTGGACTGTCTCTGATGACTAGTTAACTCAGCTATTAAAAAGGGTACTTTCAAAAGTAAAAAGGTAAAAGAAATGCAGAAAGGAGAATGTTCTGGAATAAATTTTCTGATATTTTACTTATGAAAAACATCAATATGATAATGCCCCAACTTGAAGCCCCAGGGATCTATTTCTAAGTTTAAAATATGCTAAGAAGAAAATACTGTTTTTAAAAGTAATTTTCAACTCCTTTGTACTCAAGTATTTTTAACTAAGGAGTTTCAGAAGTGGCCTGGCCCAAAAGAGAAACTGATAATGGGAGAAGAGAGTGGCGATAAACAATAGTTCAGGGATGTTTTAATTTAGTGATTTAAAAAATTTGTGATCTCCAAATCTCTTTATACTCTTGAAAATTATTGAGGACTCTCAGGAACTTGTCTATGTGGGCTATTTCTATCAACAGTTATTCTATGAGAAATTAAAAAAAAATTTTTTTTAGAAATTTTTAAATTGTTTAATGGAGAATGTTTTAATTACTGTATTTGTTTTTAAATAACAACATATTATCCCATTTTTTTCTAAGTTAAAAAAAAAAAGAACTAAATGGAACCACAAATGTAGAGAACCAATGTGTGGATACCAAAGAGGGAAAGGGGGGGGGGGGCAGGAAATTGGGAGATTAGGACTGATATACATACACCACTGATACTAGGTATAAAGTAGATAACTAGTGAGAACCTACTGTATAGCTCAGGGAACTCTACTCAACGCTCTAATGGTGACCTCAATGGAAAGGAAATTTAAAAAAAACAGGGGATCTGTGTATATGTACAGCTGACTCACTTCGCTGTGCAACAGAAACTAATACAACACTGCAAAGCAACTATACTCCAACAAAAATTAATTTAAAAAAATTTTTTTTAATTTTTAAGTATATTCCCCCCCACCCCAAAAAAACTGTAGTGGTATTATTATGCATTCTGACAAATCTCTATGTTTG